TACTGGTTGTAGCCAGCTTCCAAGGTCGAAGACCTGATATTGTAGTGGTTTTAAAGAAGGAAAAGGAATGCAAGATCATAGACATGGCAGTTCCAGGGGACTGTAGAATTGGTATAAAAGAAACAGAGAAGGTAGAAAAGTATGAGGCGTTGAAAAGGGAAATTCGGAAAATATGGGCAATGAAAAAAGTAGAAGTCATTCCAATAGTAGTAGGTGCCTTAGGAGCAGTTAGTAATAAACTGTATAAGTGGATTGAGAAATTGGGAATACATATAAGAATAGAACTTCTACAAAAAACAGCATTGTTAGGGACGGCAGGAATACTGAGAAGAAGCTTGGAAAGCTAAAATCTTTGGGACCTGAGGCTACTGGTTGTAGCCAGCTTCCAAGGAAAAACATAGCCAGCATAAGAACAAAGCTGTGAAAAACATGTAATAATAATAATAATAATAATAATAATAATAATAATAATAATAATAATAATAATAATAATGATAATAATAATATTAAATTCAAGATCTGTGCAAGCATGTTTGATTATGAACAGGATTATAAAGCTTTATATGAAGCGTGATCAAAATCTCTTTGACCAGAGGCAGACATGAATAGCAATGTTTAGCATGACTGTATGAGTCTGGCGCAGACATGAATACCAATATTTTGAAAAATATAAATTATAAGCATAAATATCCATTGAAATAACAAAAATGCCAGCGTTGCCAACTGTATACATTTTGTAAAAATCGCGGAAATACATTTTGCATTTTATCATCGCCTCATGGTATGAACGACAGTTTCCCCCCAAAAGTCGACAATTTCTGCAACAACTTCACATCTTTACAACTCTTACACTTTTAGCGTTGCAGGCTAGCCACAAAAATTTCAGCTTCTTCCTTTTAATGGGAAATTTGTAATAAATTGCATGCTAAGCATTCAAACACAACATATGTTTAAGTATGCTCAATACCAATAAATTTTGTTTTTTAAAGTGCCACTGCGATGGAAAATTGTGCTGTCATTTTATTGTATATTCAGAAAGTATGTCCGTAGATAAACAAAATTACCAAATATCAGCGTCCAATTCCATTTCCTTCTGCCTTTTTTTTCAACGCAAACATGCAAATTT